CGTTTAAAATATGACATTCCTAATAAAAGAACTCGAAACTTTAGTCCTCTGTTCCTCAGCCATTGTAGTTCAACATATGCACTGCATGACTCTTTTAGGGTATTATGTTCGAACTACAATGGTCTCTACTCTATAACATCTCTTTCCTGTCCCTCAAATTTAAAATATAGAATTTTAAATTTCCTTACTAACTCCTCTTAACAAAGCTTAACAAATTTCAAATAGCTTAATATGTACTAACAAATCGTTTTTCGAGCGCCCCTTGGTCGTTTGGGCCTCTTAGCTTTATGATGAAAACAGGAATGCTAGCTGATGCTCTTATTGATGCACAAGCCATTTCCAAATTCTCCATTGCAATTGATTGCCGTTGCTCGACACTCAGCGCCAGGAAGTCCGCAGAGCCTACTAGCTGGTGCTCGTACATATTGCCCTTGATGTCTCTCGACAGCCAACATGGCTGCTTAGTTTTGCCATCCCAATTTCTTTGGCGTTGACTGAGTTCAAATTGCTCACAGTGAGTATCCAGGAACTTTAATAAATTGTTGGTTGTTGGTCACTTCAGATCGCGGCTGTCCTCGATCTATTTACGGCGTGTTTCGATATCCATTTTTTGAAAAATCAACAAGATGATCCAACAATCCCGTGTTTTATTCCCAATGCCCCTTACTTAGCACCAAAGATCACATAAGGAACTGTTAACGTAGAACTGGTAACAATCAAATAGTGGTTAAATTTAAAGCCATTTTACCCCGATTAACGGCTATACTTAATGTTGCAGTTGCAGTTACATTTTATCATTCAACGTTGCTTGATATTTGGAGCGACAACAATCGCCAGCAGTTTGTTTTGCTCAATTTTGGCTCAATTAAGTGATGTCCAGCAAATCATAATAAAAAAAAACTCAGTGCATTCTTCGGATTCATTAACACTAATTTGCCAAAATGCATCAGAATGCTCGACCGTTTTAAAGAAAAGCATGCGCAATGACTCGATGCATGCACCTTCTACATTGGCCAAAAAATTTAAAACGGTGTCTCTAAATAAGGGATGCCCAGCCCCATTGCTCTCGTTGCTCCTTTGTTGTTGGAATTGCTCTTTCATATGGGAAATGAAATGTCTTAAACGTGTGTAGCTCTCAGCATAGGCATAGGCCTATGCTGTACAATAAAACTTTTTCGTGTTTTCCCTATTCTTCCCAATCGTCCTAAACCGAATGTTCAAAAACACTCAGAACATAGTAGTATAGTATAATGTTAACCTGTTTTTTAAAATATAGGGTCTTTTTATAATTGCTATAATAAAATGTATTTTTTATTATAATTATATGTAAATTTTTTTTGTAATAGCAGGATAACGTTTATTATAAACTGTCCTTTAAGGACAACCATTAAATGTTATAACATGACAATACATTACATTATCTTCACTTATAGACAATTTTACATATTAATATTGGAGAACTAAATTGAGCAGTAAGTAAGCTTAGCTTATGGTATTTAAAGATTATGGTTGGGATATCCCGGGGAGGTCCAGTGGGTGCGTCTTTTAGTCTTCTGGGCTGCTCGCTGTTGTCCAGCAGAGAGATGGCCAACAGGTTCGGGGGATTATGGAGCCTCTGCATGTAGCGTGCGCTGCTTCTTTGGATCTCGTCCTTGACCCAAGGAAAATTGAGAACCTCGTGGATGGTGCGATTGTCATGATAGACGTGGGCCCCAGTGGCGATTCGAAGGGCTCTATTTTCGAACATAGTTCGGACATTCGTCTTGCTCGCAGTGCTCCAGAGCTGTATGCCGTACGTCCAGATTGGGCGTTTTATGGCCTTGTAAATGAGAAGTTTTGTGGACGTTCTCAGCTTCGATCCCCCACCCATGAGCCAGTAGAAGGATCGAAAGCTTTGATCAGCCTGTTTCCTCTTCTTAATCAGATGGGGGCCTCCTGTCTAGGGTGAATCCAACGTACTTGGTATTGTCTTGCTGCGGGATCGGGGAGCCATTGAGGTTAACTGAACGGCAGTTGCCTTTGCAGAGAGAAATTGTGGTTGCAGTGGACTTCTCATTATTGACGGCAATGTTCCATCGCTTTTGCCAGTCGATGAGCAAAGCGCTATCGGCGGTGGTAAGGAAGGCGGTGTCGGCCTCTGGAGAACAGGGAGGTCGGCCGTGTAAGCGTTGTACATCAACGGTCCAAGAACGCTGCCTTGGGGGACACCAGCGTGAGTTTCTCTTAGAGCGACTTTAGGAACTGGAAGTATGGTCGGAGTAGGCCTGTCTTTAATTTGTATAGGAGACCGGGATGCCAGACTCGGTCGAACGCCTGCTTCACGTCCAGCATGACGGCCATGCAGTACTTCTTGGTTTCAAATGCGTCCAGGATGTACTGCACAACCCGATGGCACTGCTCTGGGATAACGTGTCGCCGCCTGAAGCCAAACTGGTTAGGGTTAGGGATTAGTCCAGCCTCGTCCAAAACTGGCAGTGCTCGGCTCAAAAACACTCGTTCTAGTATTTTGGAGAGCATTGGTAACAAGTTTATTGGTCGGTAGGACAAAAGGTTCGCTTCGGGTTTCGCGGGCTTAGGTATCATAGTTACCTGGGCACGTTTCCATGTGGATGGAAAGTACCCTATTTCCAAGCATCTATTATAGATCAATGTAATTAGCTAAATGCTTGGATGTGGTAACATTTTTAATGCAATTGCATTGATACCATCATCGCCCGGGGCCTTGTTGTTGCTCATGATGGTTATGAGCTCAGCTGTTTCCTCCTCAGTCGCTGGTCGTATTGGATCGGCGTCCCTGGAAGGCTCGGCTAGCAGACGGGCAGTTTCAGCACCATCCTCCGGTGAACAGCGATCGAAAGGCGTAAAGACACCTTCGAGGTGTTCGGCGAAAGCGTTAGCCCTGTCCATCTCCGATCTGCACCAGTTGCCGTCGGTTCTTTATACAGATGGGATCCTTTTCAGTGGCCGTCTGATAAATTTGGTGACTCGCCATAAGTTATGTTGAGGGTCGCCTGGTTCGAGTTGTTCGACGAACCCGCCAAAGGCCTGCTTTCTTAGTCTTTTCAGCGTGACTGAAAGACATTTGGACGCTCTATTGAAGGCGGTTTTGTCCAGCGGATTCCTCGAGAGCATCCGCACTTTCTGGAGTCGTCGCTCTTCAATTTTGAGTCCTCCGACTTCTGGGCTTCAAAAGTGGATGTCCCTGTCAGTGGCTCTTGGTCGGTTGAAGGGCCTTGGTGCTGCTTCAGAAGCTGCCGCCTGGATATGGGCGGTTAACTCTTCTACAGCGGTGTAGAAGAGTTAATTGAAACCATTATATTTATTCAAAACCACTTGTAAATGTTACTATAACATTATTTTTCAGTGCATTGACATGAAAAAAAAATGGTGCAAATGTATTGGTGATTGTTTGCACTGGTTCAAGTTTGCTCTGCCGTATGCTGAGGTTGGGCACCCCTGATATAGATATATCAGGAAAATTGAGCGGAAAAAGCGATCGTAACGAATATATTTTTGTACAAATCGACGCTTTTACAAAATACGTTTATCTATTTCACACCTTTTCCTTAGATGCTAATACTTGTATAAACGCAATGAAATCTTCGATCACCATTTTTGGCGTGCCAACACGTTTAATTGCCAATCAGGGGCAGAGCTTCACGGGCACATAGTTTGTGCAATTTTGTTCTAGCCAAAAAATACAATTACATCTAATTGGAACGGGCGCAAGTCAAGCCAATGGTCATGTTGAAAGAGTCAGGAGTACACTGAAGAATCTTCACAAAAAAATCACCAAATTTGAACTCTCTAACTCTAAAAACACCGAAGTTATACCATTTCCGATCAATCAGTTATATTGATACGGATAGACGGACATGCTCATATCAACTCAGAAGATGATCCTGATCCAGAATATATATTCTTTATAGGGTCGGAGATGTCTCCTTCACTGCGTTGCACACTTTTGGGAAAAATTATAATACCCTCTGCAAGGGTATAAAAATTAAAATTTATAGTTTTAGTCAAGTTTATTGATTGTCACAGACGTTTTTTCATCAGCATGGCACAGCATTAACATAGCACAATAGTTTAGTTGTTCAAAATTGGTTTCAATCGAATAACCTATTCAAAAAAATCTGTCACAAAGGACGATAGAAAACCTTTTGGAAAGCAAGACAATGCTTACTCAATTGAGTAAGCAGAGAAATTTCCTATGCCCTCGGAATAGGGACGTGCCGACCATGATACAATTATAATTGTACAATTATATAATTGTATCATGGTGTTGACCACTGCTATAAAAACATGTCTATAAGAAAAAATTTGCAATTATATTTTGTTGTTTCAATTATTGATTTCTTGTTTCAAAAAAATTGTTCTCATGTGTTTTATGAGTGACTTATTTTTCTTATAAAAAGTCTCGAACTCCTCTAAAATTTATCCGATTTAAATAACTTTTATTTTCCAGATATAAATTAGTTACAGATATAGTTTGGCATGAAATCTATTTAAAATACCTTGTGTTCTGACGCTACAGAAATATTAAATTTGTGGGGAAGAGAGGGGCCGTGTGAAAAAATTGGAAACAAACTTAAAATGCTTGAGTATTTTCTTTTATAGTCTTAGATCCACGCGTTTATACGAACAGGCAGACGGACATGGCTATATCGACTTGACTTTTGATGCTGAGAAGATTCCTTCTCTAAGTTACATACATTATAATGTACCCTTGTAGTCTGCTAGTTCCGGGTATAAAAACAAATATTCGCGTTAGGTAGTTTATAGCATTTAAGCCCCTCGCCTTTGACTTAAGTCGAGCCTTGGGAGAAACATGCTCTACTTCCTCGGTCTTCGTAAACTTCCTAAGACGACTCCGACTAATATTTGATTTTATTCTCGTTTTCATGTTTTTTCCTAAGTACCAGTACCAGTACATGGACAACCAGTAAACTGTTAATTCAAAGTTCTGTCTTTAAATGATTATACTTATTTCGCACATATTTATATTAATGGTTACATATTATTTGCGTTTATTTACAGTACATATATTTTTTATAAAATATATTTAACTTAACTTATCAAAGACTGTAGATATTTTAAGTAATGATGAAAACTTGTTGTCCACAGCAAGAAAAATTTTTAATTTTTAAACATAGATTTTTATTAATAAATAAAGTATAAGTTCTACCTTTATTACACTTTTAGTTATGCACAACGGCCGAGGAATGTTGTATGCTACGTTCAAATTCTTCTAAGCTAAGGGCTTGGTTTATATTTAAAAGGGGAAGTTTTCCCGCAGATGCTCTTGCAAGAAGTTCAGGTGAAAACCACTGAGCCAATTGGTTGTTGGTAGGCGAAGGTAGTCGATCATCTTTATGATTGCTGTTAGTTCCAAGCTTATTGTTTTTTGCCATATTTCCAGAGTCTAAGCCATCAAAACATTCTAAGCATTTACATTAAATAAAATCATATATACACAACCATTATATCAAGGCTTTACCTGGTACTTGGGATATGTGGACATTTGATTGACGAGGCAGTTCTGCATGAATAACCCTATGCCTACCTTGTTGTCGCGTTTGCTGCTGCCAAAATACATGGTTCTGCATTTGGGAGTTTGCATCAGGATAGGTAATATTATGATGCATATTTTCAGAATTAAATAAAGATTCGGTTATTTGCGAAGTCTTAAACCTAAAAGGAGAATTTGGCTGATGATTCTGATGTATGTGATGACTTAGCGGCTGATGATTAGAATGGTGCATGTCAATGTTAGAAGTTAATGAAGCCGAAGGAATTGGTTGCGAGCTTGAATTTAAGCCACCTTTCAGTATAGGACGACCTGAAACACGTATAAAAAACATTTTTTTAAATTTTAATAATTATTGATTGAATTTACCAAATGTTTTTCCATGTACCATATGTGCAGAAATAGGTGGCCATTTTATCATTGATTGGTTATGACACTGAGGCAAGTTTGCAATAATGTCCTGACCATTAGAATTTGCTGTAAAATTCCCTCCACCTAATATCATTCGAGGTGGAACCGGCACAGATGTAGTTTCGTGGGGCTCAATGTAAGTCGCATTTGTCAGTTGTTTAGAATATTGTTGATGGATTGGGAATTGAAGCTGCTGATTACAAGATACGCTTTGTGTAAAATTTGTATCTTTGTCAGCTGTCATTTTTCTTAAAACTGATGTCGGAGTAAAAGCCAGAGGGGTGGGCGAATTGCTGTGGTTTAATTGCTGATTTATCCCATTAGAAGTATTTGGAGAAAACATATCTTAAAATAAAAAAATCAAAACAACATTAAACTACTCCATATAGTATCTTTAATGTTTTATCCTTACGAGGTATTATTTTTAAAGATTCTTAAGATGCTTTTAATATATATACTCAGCTCGTTTATTGGCTTTAAGTTTACGAGAGTTTTCGGTAACGCGGCAGTTTTGCAAGGGGTGAAATCAATATAACATAAAGAGAACCCTCTTTATGAAAGTTATTTTCATTTAACTAACCTTTGAAGGGGTTATACGCAGTTGGGCGAGCCAAAGTATTAGTTAAACTGTTGCTTATCACGTAAAACTATTTTCTAATTTGACTTCTGTAGACGTTGTAAAAAACTTGTTCGAAAACAGGTGGTTGGAAATTCAAAATCAACAAATTTGATTGACTCTTTAATCACACATAAATTTGAAAAATGAACAAAGGATTTAAAAACAAACAAGAAAGAAAAGCCCAAATTTTTACCCAACATGCGTTGAAGTTCCAGCTCGGTTTATGTCTACTTTTGATGTTGATAGCTTATCTGAGTTTGCGAATATATCAGTTTTTTTCGCGTTTCCCCGTGCCCCTACTTTTCTATTTAGGCAGACAGCTAAGAAGAAAATGTCAAATGAAAATGTCAAAATGTCAGAAACGAAGTCATGCCACCCAAGAAGAATTTTGGTCGTCTTACTCGCAATACAACAGCAAAAAGACGTAACATTTCGAATAGGACTGACGAAGAGCGGGCCTCCATTCGAGAGACTGAGCGGCTGAGAGCCATGCGGATGCACAACGCGGAGACAGCAGAAACGCGAGCAGCTAGGCTTGAGCGAACACGATTGAGAGTTAGGCAGTCCCGTTCTGCAGCAATCGATTTGATTCGGTCTCAAAATAATGAACGCGACAGGGCAAGGATAGCTGAAGCGCGTTTACAGCTTGCAACAGCTCGAAACCTGCAATACAATCGTCTTGCATTCCGATATAATCCAACTGTTGATTACAGCTCGAATCGCAATGTCGTTATTGGCCGGATGAATCAGGTCTGCACACACTGTCAGGCTCTCAAATTCAACAACGAACCAAAAGGATTGTGTTGCGCTTCCGGGAAAGTGAAATTGCCTCAACTTTAGGCACCACCAGAGCCTGTGAACTCTCTATTAGCTGGAATCGAAGCATTTCCTGTCGAACATTAGGAAATACAACTCTTGCTTCCAAATGACGTCATTTGGTGCGGAAATTATAACTGCGCAATTCATGCCAACTTTTAAAATTAAAGGACAAATCTATCACAAAGCCGGTTCCCTGCTTCCGTTCTCAGACAGCGAACACAAATTTCTTCAAATGTACTTTATTGGTGATGATGGAGCTGAAGTCGATGCACGTTATGGAATCAATACCTCGGTGAAGAAGCCCATTATTTCGCAGCTACAGAAGCTGCTACAGAAATCGATATGATGCCTTCGGATACCCATAAAATTGTCATTCATGCAGACAAAACGCCTGCTGTAGAACATATCAGAAGATACAATGCTCCAACTATAGACGAAGTGGCAATTGTCATAGTCGGGGATCAGTTCCAACCTCGAGATATTGTTCTCCATCGACGAAACGATCGATTGGTAAACGTCGCAGAAACTCACCGTTGTTACGATGCTTTGCAGTATCCACTCATCTTCTGGGATGGTGCCGATGGATATCATGTGATGGATTCAATGTGAGGATGGTAGATCCAGTCAATGGTGTAGAAACGAATAAAAAGTGCAGCGCGATGAACTTTTACTCATACCGATTAATGGATCTGAGGACCGATGACAATCATATATTGAAATTTCGTCAGTTGTTTCATCAGTACATTGTCGATATGCATGCCAAAATTTAAACAGATCGTTTGCTGTTCCTCCGATTGAATCAGACGAAACTTCGGTCCGAGGAATATATCCATTTGAGGGATGCTGTGATGAATGACCGTAATACAACCAACGTTGGAAAGCTCACGATTTTGCCATCCTCATACATTGGCGGTTGTGGAGGCAGAGGAAGCAGTTAATTACCCTACGGGTTTTCTAAACTCACTTGATCTGCCTGGAATGCCACCACACATATTGAAATTAAAAATAGGTGTGCCGATTATCATGCTCCGGAATATGAATCAGGCGAAACTCTGCAACGGTACGCGACTCGCAGTCAAGAAATTGATGAACAACGTTGTAGAAGCAACGATCATAAGTGGTCCTTTTAAGGGTGAAGATGTCCTCATTCCTAGGATTCCTATGTTCGCGACTGATACACCGTTCCAGTTCAAGAGATTGCAGTTTCCCATTCGTTTGGCGTTCGCAATGACCATAAATAAAGCTCAAGGTCAATCTCTGGAGTTTTGTGGTTTGGATTTGGATGAAGATTGTTTTTCACGCGGACAATTGTTTGTTGCGTGTTCCCGTGTCGAAACAAAGAATATTGTATACCCACAAGTATTACAGAATTAAATTAATGTGAAAATTATTCTTTTTTGTTTGACTTATTTCTTATGCGTGCAACCAAAATATGCCACAGCGAAACGTGGCAGGGTACTGCTAGTATTATAATATAACCTTTTTATTGCAATACAAAATCTAAAAAAAGTCCCAAACTTCTATCTTGAAAAAAAACAGAGTAGGTATTTTTACCAAATACCAAAAACCATTTCCGGTCGTTCAGTTATATGCCAGCTCTTGGATATAGTCGGCCGATCATGATGAAATTTGGTACGTCGTGCTATTTTGCCAAAAATAGCATTTATAAATAATCTCCGAACTCTCATCCGGTAGGCCATACACAATCCTACACAAAAAGGTACAAAGAAGCCACTAAACATTTTCTTTATTAACCTCGAGCCAGCCAAAAACAACAAAGAAGCCTTTCAAGTCAAGCGGCTATGCAACACGGTGGTTACGGTTGAGCCACCAAAAAAATTCGACGATGTGCCCCAATGCCATCGCTGCCAGGGCTTCGGTCACACGAAACGGTACTGCCATCTGGAGTACAGATGCGTAAAGTGTGGAGATAGGCACCCATCGTCCGAATGCACCAAAATCGCCAGTGAACCAGCCGTCTGCTTCCACTGCGACGGATCACACGCGGCCTCTTACAAGGGCTGTCCAGCCTACAAAAAGGCAAAGAGCACGTTTGCCCTCCCAGCAGACTGCCCCAAGACGCCAGCAACCTCAATTCAGCAAAATTAACCCTAACATCAGCTATGCTAGCGCAGCCAAAAACGGAGCCCCACAGTTTGACTCCAACGTCAATCCCGATCCCAGTCTTCCAAGTAATCCAATGGACGCCCTAATGGCTAGGATGGAATCTATGTTTGAGCGCATGATGGAGAAGGTCTTGAGCCAAATAGCCCAAATGATGGCCACCGTTTTCAAATCCTTATGCATACGCAATTAGATATACCCATATGGAATGCTAACGGCCTGGTAAAAAGAAGGCCAGAGGTCGAGCTATATTGCAAGAACCACCAAGCTCCTCATATCAGAAACGCATTTTACCAACAGATCATACTTGACTATTAGAGGATACGACCTCATTGCCGCTAACCACCCGAACGGTAGAGGTCGCGGGGGCGCGGCCATCCTTTTTCGCAGCTGCATCAAGTATGAGGCACTTCCAGCCATGTGCGAAGACTGGGTGCAATGACAAGTACCAATCTTACCTGAACAACGTTACCGACCCTAGCCCGACACTTGACTCCCAGTTTGACATCGACGACGTTGTAGAAGAGTTAACAGCCCATATTAAGGCGGCAGCTTCTGAAGCAGCACCAAGGCCCTCCAACCGCCCAAGAGCCACTGACAGGGACATCCATTTTTGGAGCCCAGAAGTCGAAGAACTCAAAATTGAAGAGCGACGCCTCCGGAAAGTGCGGATGCTCTCGAGGAATCCGCTGGACAAAACCGCCTTCAATAGAGCGTCCAAATGTCTTTCAGTCACGCTGACAAGACTAAGAAAGCAGGCCTTTGGCGGGTTCGTCGAACAACTCGAACCAGGCGACCCTCAACATAACTTATGGCGAGTCACCAAATTTATCAGACGGCCACTGAAAAGGATCCCATCTGTATAAAGAACCGACGGCAGCTGGTGCAGATCGGAGATGGTAGGGCCAACGCTTTCGCCGAACCCCTCGAAGGTGTCTTTACGCCTTTCGATCGCTGTTCACCGGAGGATGGTGCTGAAACTGCCCGTCTGCTAGCCGAGCCTTCCAGGGACGCCGATCCAATACCACCAGTAACTGAGGAGGAAACAGCTGAGCTCATAACCATCATAAGCAACAACAAGGCCCCGGGCGATGATGGTATAAATGCAATTGCATTAAAAATGTTACCACCTCCAAGCATACAGCTAGGGTAGATAGGGTACTTTCCGTCCACATGGAAACGTGCCCAGGTAACTATGATACCTAAGCCCGCGAAACCCGAAGCGAACCTTTTGTCCTACCGACCAATAAGCTTGTTACCAATGCTCTCCAAAATACTAGAACGAGTGTTTTTGAGCCGAGCACTGCCAGTTTTGGACGAGGCTGGACTAATCCCTAACCCTAACCAGTTTGGCTTCAGGCGGCGACACGTTATCCCAGAGCAGTGCCATCGGGTTGTGCAGTACATCCTGGACGCATTTGAAACCAAGAAGTACTGCATGGCCGTCATGCTGGACGTGAAGCAGGCGTTCGACCGAGTCTGGCATCCCGGTCTCCTATACAAATTAAAGACAGGCCTACTCCGACCATACTTCCAGTTCCTAAAGTCGCTCTAAGAGAAACTCACGCTGGTGTCCCCCAAGGCAGCGTTCTTGGACCGTTGATGTACAACGCTTACACGGCCGACCTCCCTGTTCTCAAGAGGCCGACACCGCCTTCCTTACCACCGCCGATAGCGCTTTGCTCATCGACTGGCAAAAGCGATGGAACATTGCCGTCAATAATGAGAAGTCCACTGCAACCACATTTTCTCTCTGCAAAGGCAACTGCCGTTCAGTTAACCT